CGGCTGGCTGGCCAGCAGCAGTGCGGGTTGGCAGGGGCCCTCTTATGAGGTGATCCTTGAAATGTTGAGGGAGGATATCCAATGGCGCCCGAATCGATGAGACACTACGCTTGCTCGGCAACCATGCGGAGTAAAACTGCCACACGTGAGTCAACATCTCTTTGGTCGGGAATTATGTTTTTGGAAAACGCCAATCCCAGGCGAAAAGGGTCGAGATCCCCGCGGTCCATGCCGTGCACACTCGCAACATCGAGGGCCGGGGTCCACAAGCCAAGCGAAACAGCGATCTGTTCAAGCAGCTTCCTCGAGCGAGCAGTTGCGGCAGCAGAAAGCCGGTCGAAACCCGCTGGTCTATGAGAGTGCTCTGGCCGCCAGCAAACTCCCGCAAAGGCACTCAACGCAACGCAAGCTTTCCAGGTGCGAGGTTTTCAACGGTTGTCGGCGAATTTCCAGCCTCGGGTTTTTGTCCAGCTGCTGCGCCTCGCCGAAAACGTTCTGGGAGTGTCCGGAATGTCCTGAAAAGGCCGCCGCAAGCCCGAACGATGGGCCGAAGACCATTCAAACCATCGGGGGACGGGCCTGTTCGCGACGCTCAAACACCCCCTGCATCACCAGGTGCTGCCAGTGCAGGGGAACGCGGGCCCATATCACCCACAGGTCATGGCCGCGCTTGAAAGCGTGCCAGTGTGGCCATCGATGATTGACATATTGTGGATGCCTGCGTGTGGCTTCGGAAATCGATTCGTGCCCCAATGGCTCGTGTCTCCTGCCTCTCACGCTCATTCTCCGACTAGCCCTCTGAGCGTGCGTGGCTTAGGGGGCCCACTCTTGCACCCCCTTCTCCTTCTCAATAAACACCTCCTCCCCCATTCTTCAGGCCACGAACCCAGGTCAATGCCGACCCCTCCCCCCCCCCACGCGACCCGCGCCAAAGAACCGTGCAATGTGCACGCTGCGGCGGCAAAATCTGGAGCATGTCTGGGCGCCGCGCGATGGCCTAATGTCCCTTTCAACGGGCCATGCAAAATGGTCGCGAAGGGCACACGCAAAACGGATGGTGGTGGGGGCTCGACAGGTTGCCAGACTTGTACATGTGTGCGCGCATGTGTTTCTCAGTGCTTGTTATAGTCTCTGTTTCCTTCACCTCAGCATCGCTTGCGAAGAAAGCATATCAGCGCTCGCGCCAGCCCCGTCGCCAACACCAGCCAACTGCCACCTCTCTCTCGCTCGCTCTCGCTCTCTCTCTCTCTCTCTCTCTCTCTCTCTCTCCCTCTCTCTCTCTTATGCAATAGGTGTGTCTCGATATGTTAATATGTCTGTCGCTCTCAAAATGTGTCTGTCATTGTGTTCAATTGTTGTCCAGCCGTCTTCCGTGTCAATCTGCCAGCTCCCCCAGGAGCGGAGGCGCGATTGCAGCAGAGGGGGGCTCACACCTTTGAGGGGGATGAACGAGCAAGACAGCCAATCAGCACATACCCACCCCCTGTGGAATGGCGCCTGCACAGGGCACTTGGCCGCAGGACACTCCGCAGAGACGCGTGCGCCTTGAGGGTCACGCACACAGAGGTAAGAGGAGGGGACAACTGCAGGTAGCCCCACTGGTCTGGATTGAGTCATCTTCCACAACACCAGTCTAGCTCCCTCTCCGCTGGCAGCAATGTCTGTGCTCGAAAGGGAGAAGAACGTGCTTGGTTATGACTGTCGGGGGGCTCCTGAAGCACCTGAGGGCCTTGGTCGCGGACAGGTTCACAATAACTTTCATGGGGCTTCTGAAGCACCTGGGGGACTTGGTCGCAGACAGGTTCACAATATCACACATCTCGAAATATGCACTGCAGAATGCATGCGCGTCTGAATGGGGGGATGTCCGACTTGTAGCTCTGTGCCGCAGACGCGCTCTACGTGTCCTCCATCTCCATACTCATTGTGTCGTTAGTTTGGGTTGTTCTTCTCTGCATGTATGTTCCTGCTCTCGATTCAAGGTCTGGTTCGTCTTCCTTTTGCTGTTCATCCAAATTCGGAGATAGGCAGAACCCCCTTTCGTAAAACGTGGTTTAGTGAGAACGACCTCGGGCCCAAACCTGGCGAGCGCAAGCCTGGAAAATGACGGCCGCGGCGCCCTCTCGAGAACCAAAAACGTCAATTCACTAATCGATGTGTCAGGGGGGGGTTCTGTCCACCCCCGGCAAATTAAGTTCTGTACCCCAGGCCACTCTGCAGGATGAAGGGGGTGCATGCGTTCAGCGCTTTCTTGATACACATACACCCCTTCAAGCAGGCAAGCAGAAGCCTGGTCGTGGACTAGTCCTCTATCTTCGACGGCATATTGTAGCAATAGATAGCTAGAGCGACCCTTTACCGCTGGCGCATCCAATGACGCTGAAATGCCGTGTTCCACATCATCTTAGTCACCTCTGTGCCGCCAACTTTGGGAATATCATCTCAGGACGCCCGTCCCAAGTATTCTTCAGAGGTTGTCTCACAATCGAGGCAGAACTGCTGACAGCCTCTCGTCTCTTCTCCACCACACTCAGGACTGCTTTCTTCCAGGGCCTCTCTACACCGTCACGTTCTGGCTGTATTGGCTACGAACAACGTCCGGAACAAACCTGTCCGGAACATTGTCCGGAACACATGTCCGGAACATTGTCCGGAACAAACGCGTGGATTCCACGTCCCTGGGCCCCCCCACTCCCGAGGTCCTTGGGAGCCTCAGGGCCCTCCGGCCTGGTAGCACCCGCGGCCCGCAGGCCGCCCAGGAACGTAGATATCGGGCGTTCCGATGCCAAGAGGGGCCCAAATGGACGTCCCTGGGCACGCGGCAAAGTCTGCCGCTCTCCAGGGCCAGCCAGCGCAACCGACCCTCGGGGGGCTTGGCCCAAAATGGCAACGGAAGACGAGGCTCGGTCCTCCTCGCCCTCGTCCCCGCCCTCGTCCTTCGCCCCCGCCTCCTCCTCCCCGCCCCCCCCTCCTCTTCCGTATCATCGCGTCGCGCACCATACGTTGGGGCAGTGTGCCGGGGGGCCCATGCTGATGTCAAGCATCCAGCAATTGCTCAGGGGGGTCCGGGGGGCCCTGCCTCCTGCCTACCCCCTCGCCCAGGGACTTAGATTTCGAGCGCGCCGACGGCCGAGGTAAGCAAAACATACGTTTCTGGGCCTTGAGGCGTAAACCTCGATCTTCAGGGCCAGAAAATCTGGAACCTCGATCTTCAGGGCCTTGAGGCGTAAACCTCGGTGTAAAACCTTATCGGTTTCTGGGCCGTACTTCGGGCCTCCGGCAGCCGCTCCGGGCGATTCCAGCACTCCGGGGCGCAGCGTTCGTTCCAGATCCGTTTCTGACGGCGTCGCGCTCGGGGGCCCGAGAACGGGCCCCAAACGTCCCAAGATCGACATACGAAAGGGATAACGCCAGTTACCCCCCCCGACCCGCCCACCCCCGAAACGGTAACGCCAGAAAAACCAACCACAGGGAGAATTCCCCCGCCCAAGGACGTCGATTTTGCTCCCCCGCGGCGCCTGAACGTCCGAAATCTACGTCCCTAGGCGGCGCGGCCCCCAAGGACGTCAATTTCTACAGTTGTCCGGAACAACTGTCCGGAACAAATTGTCCGGAACAACTGTCCGGAACAAACTGTCCGGAGCAACATTTTGTCCGGAGCATGTCCGGAACGTCCGGAACATTGTTCGTGGCCAACACAGCGTTCTGGCAATGGTTCGGATCCGCTCTCAATGTTGACGTGGGGCCGCCGTCCGCAGCAGGGTGCACGTCGACTCTGCCGTTCGATTGTCCCTCGCTTGGGAGACGCACGATCCTGTCGTGGTGCTGCGAGCTTCTGCCAAACCCTGGAACTATTGGATCTTTCGGGATTTCAATTGCGGTGCGGTTTTGAAGCTGGCCTAGAATGAATGTAACAAGAAGCGGAGCTTTCTATACCAACTCGGTTCCAAGAACCTTTGCATAGAGCAGGGACTCGTCTCGCGTGCATCGGCAATTCGTTCTGGAGTCTTGTTTCGATCCCATGAACACCTCAGAAAATGGACTGCGTACATCACGGACATCCTCACCCTGACCCCCATAAAAACATATGTTGACTTTGAGGCTGTGAGACTAGCGTGTTTTCTTCGTGATAGATATCGTGCCCACGGCGGAGGCGTTTAGCATCGCGAGCGCCCGTATTGCCTTTTGCCAGCCTCGTGCCAATTCTCTTGCAGTGCCAGTATGTATCCTTGATGGCTGGGCTTACACTGGTCCTCCTCCTCCTCCTCCTCCTCCTTCTCCTCCTCCTTCTCCTCCTCCTCCTCCTCCTCCCTGAGAGCCACCGATATGGGGTCCGAGTAGATGGAGTCGGAGGATTGCACCACATCGCCAATGAATCGCTGATGCATCAATGACGCCGTCGATGCATCGGCGACGTCCGCGTGGAGAAACACGAGCTCTGCATCGAACCGTATCGCCGATGCATCGGCGATGCGGCCTGATCCTCCGACTCCACCCACTCGGACCCCATCTTGGAGGCCTGGACTCGGGGGGGACGAAAGAGTAGGATAGCAAAGATTGGGTCGAGAATCAACTCACATAACTGGTTTTCCTGGCGCATCCTTGCGCAAGGAGGCGCCCGTGTATCGAAGAATGGGCCAGGCGGCGGGGCGGAGACCAGCTGCATGCGGCAAATTTCGTACCGAATCTTGTCCCTACCCTACCCTTTCGTCCGGCCCGATCGACTCACCCTCCTCCTCCTCCTCCTCGTCCCCGTCCTCGTCCTCGTCCCCGTTCTCCTCCTCGTCCTCGTCCTCCTCCTCCTCGTCCTCGTCCTCATCCTCGTCGTCCTCCTCCTCCTCCTCCTCCTCCTCCACCGCCTTGTCCTCGCCGTCGTCCTCGTCCACCTCCAACTCGTCCTCCTCCTCCTCCTCCTCCTCCTCCTCGTCCTCCTCCACCTCCTCCTCCTCCCTGTCGACTCCCCCTCCACCCCCCCCCGCAGGGCGCCGCCCAGGCCGCGCGGGCAGGTCCTGCTCGTGATTCCCGAAGCAGACGTAGTCCACAGGGACCTCCGCGCCCCCCGTCCACCACCACCGGGGGGTCGAGGAGGCAGGGCGCGCGCCCGTAGTGGTCGCGTCGTCGTCGTCGTCGTCGTCGTCGTCGTCGTCGTCGTCGTAATCTCCGTCGTCGACAGGGCCTCCAATCCCCCACTCATCGCCGGCAGGGCCTGGCAGCCCACCCCGCCCAGGAACGCGGGGCTCCTCTGTCGGGGCCCCCTCTCTCCGATGTGTCACCCATGCGTCGCCGCTTCAAAATGACGCGCCGCCCCTCCTCGAGCCGGTCCCATCCTAACGTTAAGTCGGGCCTTCTCCAGGACGAGAATGAAATCATGACAGGATTGGCTCAGGATGCGTTTCGGCATTTCCAGCGCATCTTGCGGCCCTCGTTCCTGCAGCCCGTGTGGAATATTCGACAATGTGGGAAACCCTGGAAATCGTGGAGCGTATCATTCTTATGACCTCTTGCTCCTCCGATTCTCTCCGGAGGCGCAGAAGGCCTCCTTCCTTCGGAGGAGCTTTCTGCAAACTCTCCGCGTCTGCTCCGTAGGCACGGGCGGTTTCCCAGAAGGCGCGGGGGCTCCCAAAAAACCGTTTGCGCGCTGGCTGGTCGAGGTCTACCGTGTCCAATTGAACAATATTTTCACCCACAATGCTGGATGCCCTTACCATCATGCACGACCATGTATAACTTCGCCATGCCACAACAACTGCCACTTTCCAATTGCGGGTATCCCGTCCCCTCCCGGTTCAAGCACGTCACCATGCCGCTGCCAAAGTCCTCCACTCCAAACGAGCAGCGAAACTACCAAAGCGGAGCGCTCAAGCAAGCCATATCTGAGGAAGGGAAGGGGGCGAACAAACCAATGGGACGGGCAATTGGTATGAACGCAAAGGTTGCAAGACGGACCCGACTGTGCTGGGCACCTATGAAGCAACACCAATATCCTGCACAAAGGTCTCTCGCGGAATCAACGAGGCACGAGAGATCGCCGATTTGCACTGCGCTAAGAAGACTTTGAATCTATCCAGCGACCAATCAACGCGTGCAATTGCTTCCTCCTCTTCTCCCTCCTCCTCCTCCTCCATCTCCCACTCCTGTGCTTAATGTACGTTAAGGCAGAGTCGCCGCGTGGAGCGTCACAGAATTGAGTCCACCAACGAAGTGATTCTCCGAGCGGGACCGCAAACAACACACGCAATCGAGTGACCTCGGAATGGCTGGCGTGGCCAATATTGCAAGCCGCTCAGGGCTGATTGCAACACACGACTAACATCCTTTCAGCACGGCCCTGGGCCGTCTTGGTCTTGGAGGCCGTCTTGACACCTCTCAAGGCCCCAGAGACGATAATGTGCAAGTCATGCAAAAACGATACGGGTTTTATGATGTTGGCCTCTCGAGGCTCTCTTGGGTGTTCACTTGGGGCCCGCCTGAGGCGTCTTGGGGGCCTGTTGGATTCCAGCTGCATCGACGATTTACTGAGAGGAGAGCTGGGTACGCTCATCCACGAAGAGGGCAAGGAGCCGTTGCCAAACGCAAGTCATAGAGGCCTCCCACATTGGGTCCGAGTGGATGGAGCACTAGGACTTGCCATCCCTCGGACGTCTATTCCCCGTGCATCTTTAGGTTTCGTGCGTTTGAATATTTTTGGGCCAAATAGACCAAGATGCTCCTCGATTGTCCCCGCCGCGGAAAAATGCACAAGTCCGAGCCATAGCAAGAGGACACCATCTTGGAGGCCAAGACTTCGGGGTTGAGGGAGACGACCCCTGCCGAACCGAGACAGGGGGGAGCGCATGCTGCGACCTCCGGCAACCGGGCGTGGACCTGCCTGGGTCATAATCTCGCCGCGTCGGAAATAGCTAGACACCAAGCAATGCGTTTCACTCGTCCACGGAGACGGCGATCTCGCTGTTGCATCCGCAAGTCTGCGTGCGTGGCGTTCCTCCGCGCTCCTCCTCGGAACGACGTGATCGGATCGGCGGGCCGCCGGTTGGGACATCCCGTGCCCGTCCAATGAGCTCAGCAGCGAGGGAGCTAAGAAGTCGCCCGCCAACGTCGTAACCTGGGCTCAGGCTCACCCCACCGCCGTCGCCGCGGCCGAGGCAGCCCCCGCAATCACCATCGCAGTTGTCGCCGCAACCGTCGCTGTCGTGGTCGTTGTGGACGTCGCGGTCGTGGTCGTCGTGGTCGTCGGGGGGCGTCACGCCACAGTGTTTGCCATCTGGGACTTGGTGCCTCTGGTGCTTGTCGCCCAGCCCGTGGTCGAGAAAGGATATGAGATCTGAGGCGCAAAACCACCACCGGGGAAGGGGTCGTGAGCTCTGAGGCCGTGGATTGGAAAAATCAGATGGTCGCATGGAGGAGGAGGAGGATGGAGGAGGAGGAGGAGGAGGAGGAGGAGGAGGAGGAGGAGGAGGAGGAGGAGGAGGAGGTGGAGGAGGGAGGAGGAAGAGGGAGAGGAGGATAGGAGGAGGAAGGAGGAGGGAGGAGGAGGAGAGGAGGAGGAGAGGAGGGAGGAGAGGAGGAGAGGAGGAGGAGGAGGAGAGGAGGAGGAGAAGGGAGGAGGAGGAGGAGGAGGAGAGGGAGGATAGAGGAGGAGGAGGAGGAGGAGAGGAGGAGGAGGAGGAGGAGGAGGAGGAGGAGGAGGAGGAGGAGGAGGAGGAGGACGAGGATGGAGGAGGACGAGGATGGAGGAGGAAGAGGAGGATGGAGGAGGAGGAGGAGGAGGAGGAGGAGGAGGAGGAGGAGGAGGAGGAGGAGGAGGAGGAGGAGGAGCAAGGAGCAAGGCTCGCTGTGGAAGGCAGTCCAGTGGACACGCGCCTTACGCCCGGACCGTACGCGCGAAGGGACGTGCGCATCCTCGCTCTGCTGGTTTGGATCTCTGCAGCAGCCCGTGGGCATGAACGGGAGGGAAGACGGAGGGGGGAATCGACGGCGAGCGAGGGGGAGAAGTGGAAGCAGAAGGCCTTCTCAGAAGGCGGCGGGGCTTCTCTGAAGCCCTCGCGCCTTCTGCGAGATGGTATAGTGTCTTCGGGGAAGGCTTAGACAACTTATCCGAAGGCCAGAGAACATCCGAGCCTTCTGAGAAAGCCTGCCCCTTCTCTCGGGGAGACGTACGACTCGGGTACGGGGGACTCGGGTTGGCCTGACGGGGCCATCATAAAAATGATGAGACCCAATCTGAAATTTGACGCGAACTCCCGCTGCAGACATCCCACGAACATTGGACTGTCAAAATCCAGGACGCGCTCGTCCAAGCAAACCGAGTCCCGGCTTACTCGAGTCTTACGTTTCCCCGATTCTCACTGCCCCCCCGGGCTCGCCGCCGGGGGAAGGCACCGAGGAGCTGAGCCAGGGTGGACAGAGCCAGCGGATCCGCTGGGCGCCTCCCGGCGCCAGGGGCGGCCGTGCGATTCTCAGAAAGTAGGCTGGCAGCCGGGCCGAACCCAGCTGCGCACAACAGTTGCCGGCATGACTCAACCAGGAGTGATTGCAAAAAAAAAACCGAAGGATTGCAAAAAAAAACCCTTCGAAGGATTGCAAAAAAAAACCCTTCGAAGGGTTTTTTTTTGCAATCCTTCGTAAACGTGGGGGGCAAACGGAGCGAATGGGAGTGACCCTGAAGGGGGCCTGGAGTGGCCCTAAACTACTACCCCGCGTCCAACGGGTGCTAGATGAGTGTGCCTTGCGGCGCACTGCATGAGAGCAAGGAAAGGCGGCACCAGAACAACCAGCGCGAGGTGCCAGGGAGGGTCCTCCTGGTGGTGTGGTCCGCCACTCTTGCTCAAGACATCTCCTGTCCCCAGCTCGGGGAGGCATCGTAAACCCTCTCGCTGGAGGTGGCCCCCCCTGGTGGTGGTGATGTCGCCCCTCCTTCCTCCGATTCACACCCCGTCCATTGCCCCCGCGCTGCGTTCCGCGCAATATTCGCCTCCCCTGTCCCACTCATCCCCTTCCGTCCTCCCCAAACGAAGAAGAAGAAGAAGAATAATAATAATAATAATAATAAGAAGAAGAAGAAGAAGAAGAAGAAGAAGAAAAAGAAGAAGAAGTGTGGCATGCGAATCCGCGAAGGCACGACAGAGTCGAGTGCACTTCAACTGCTGTCCCTCTTCTCCTCCTCTTTCCTCCCCTCGGTCCCATTTTCCGCATGATACTTCGACCTTTCGACTACACGCTTTGCGTATGGAGCATGTTGGGTGATTTCACGCTCGCGTCACCAAAGGCATGGTCCTTGTGGAGTCTCCTGATGCTTTGCAGAACGAACACAATGAGACGGGGGGAGGAAGAAGGAAGGAGAGAAGCCGGGAAGGTAACAGAAACTGAAGGGGGATGAGGATAATTGGGGACTAGGTGGGAGGACAATGAGGGGGACAACAAGGTTTGGGAGGCGGCTGGGGAGGCGCAGTAGGGAAGCCGTCGGCGTGGAGAAACTCCAGGTTCGCTGCTGGGGCGGAAGCAAGCAGCGCAGTCAACTGTCTGAGATGAGCCGCGGCATGCGATGGATTCGAAACGCAGCCAGCGGGCCCGATTTCTGGGAGACGCCAATTCCAAGACGAACGGCGGCTGCGTACTCTCAAAGGCACTGCCAGGACGACAAACCGGACAGTCAACCTGGAAGAGAATGTAAAAATCCACCTCCTCTGCCTCCCATTCTTACGCCTATATCGTCCCCACCCTCCTCTGCCCTCTGCGTTCCCCGTCCTAATCTTCCCTCACTCTCCATTCCTTCTCCTTTTGAATGATTTCTCCCTGTCACACCCCAGGGCCAATTTTTTGGGCGGGCAGGGCGTTTCGCCTGAGACTTCCTCACCATTTATGACCTTGAAGCTGAAACATTGACAACAGTTTCACAGATGGAGGGCGGGTGGTTTTCGCAATGTGGCTGTCGCCTTAGCGCCGCGCGTATTCGTTTTCAAATTTGCAAGGGCTTCCCAGATTGAGGGCGGGTCGTTTTCAGAATGTGGCTCTCGCCTGAGCGCCGCCCACATTCGTTTTCACAATTTGCAGGAGCTTCACGGATTGCGGGCGGGTGGTTTTCAAAATGTGGCTCTCGCCTCAGCGCCGCGCACATTCGTTTTCGAAATTTGCAATGAGTTTCACGGATTGCGGGCGGGTTGTTTTCAACATGTGGCTCTCGCCTCAACGCCGCGACATTCTTGTTTTAAACATTGCAAGAGTGTTCACGGGTTCCCATGATCGACGTATCAGAAATGGTGTTTTTTTTTCCAAACAAAGATTCACGACTACGAGGGCGCAACAGTTGCAGCGATTCGCGGTGTTGAAGTGCCAGAAAAGGCGTTCTGGCACGATTTAGGATCGTCTTGACGCAACAGTCAGGTGTATCCGTGGCGTTAGAATACCGAGAACGATGTTTTGGCATGCTTCAGGGTCTTCAAACGGTTGTCTGCCAACGAGGCAGGTCCCTCTGTGGAAATGATCTTCTGTAGGGGCCTATGGAGAGGGAGCTTGGGGGGAGGGTTTATTCCAACATCGTTGGTGACTCTTGGGTTTACACTGTTCCTTCTCCTCCTCCTCCTCCTCCTCCTCCTCCTTCTCCCACTCCATCTCTTGCAAACACAACAATCGAAGAAAGACAAAAAGAAGCACGCTCAGAACGAATGCGTGAACAGCAATTTTTGACACCGCGTCGATCGTTCAACCTCGAATCCATCGCGGCCCCGATCGTTCAAGATTGAATCCCGTCGGGTCCTGTGGCGTTACCGTGTCCCTCATGGCTCCGGCGTCGTTCTATCATGCGGAATTCAACCTTGCATACCTTCGCCGGCATCGCCAGCGCGCCATCTCCGCACGAACCTACCGTGAAGGCAAGCAAGAAAGCTCAGGATGCGTGAGCACATGTCCCGGCTGAAGGAGGAAGCGGCGCATGGTCGATCGGAGATGGCGCACAGGGCCTTTCCAGTCCCAGTGAAGAGAGAAGACGCGGGGAGGCACCACGTTCTGTCTGGGCATACCATTCGCCTTGCGCGCGCGCGCCGCTATGGGTGCCGAGGGGCTTGACGTCACGTAGATGCGATACATCGGGCGATGAAGTCTACACCTGTCTTCTGCTCCCTGGCAAGGCCCATCCTGAACCCAGGAGCAGTGTATACGCCACGCCCTCCTGGCTCGGCCCGCAGGGCGTATACACAGCTCCTGGGTTCAATATGGGCCTGGCATAGGAACAGTGGAAACGTATAGTACTCGTCGCCCGAAAGAAACTACCACGGAAAACACACACAGCCAAAGGAGGTGCACAGAAACGGAAAATACAGAGCGTGGATCATAAGCGATCGTGGTTTTATTGACCATGAGCGCGGGCAGTACACGTAGACCGCAGGAACCAAAACATAAAACGCACGCGAGGTAGAGATACAGAGAACAACGTGCAGAGAAATAGGGAGAGGTGGGCAACAACAACACACTTGAGAACCAACGTGGGTGAACACAACGCGGCAACATATCAAACTAGAACCACGCGCGCGCTTCGCGCGCTTAGGTTCTAGCTAATTAGGATCGTCACCGTCGATCTGCGGCGGCGGGGGAAGGCCCCGAAACGAAGAAAGCCCCGAACCGCACCACCACCACGACGAAACGGCCCCCGCCGAAAACGTCCAAAAAGGTTTTGTATTGGTTGTTGCGTCGCCAGCAGGAGTTCTGGGCTCCCTCCTCCTCGTGTTCCTACCTCCTCTCTGGACGTCCGATGTCGTGATGTTTTCTGTGCGAGGCCCCTGGACCTCTCGACGACTTCCTGAGTCGTTTTCTGACTGCCCCGGGACCCTGCGAGGGGCCCTTGTCGATGGTTTTTACTTGGACCAAGGGGCTACAGATTAGCATGTACAGTCAACACGCCTCCAAGATGCAGGCGATCGCATCGCCTCGCATCTTCTCATCTGTACCGCGGCTCGAGCCTCCCTTCTGAAGGCTCAAGCTCCAGCCAACGCGGGCGTCCCCGCCGTGGCTGCCGCGCGCCTGCGCCTGGCGCGCGCCCTCGGCTCAAAGGAGCGGCCTCTGGCCGCGCCCTCACCCGTCTTGGGCGGCCCCGCAAGGGGTCTTGCATTCGGCACGGACTTACCCCGTGCTGCTGAGAAGTGCGCCTAGGTGCGAGCCTAAGCTCGCATCCGAGCGGAACGCTCGGATAGGCACCCTGCCTGGAACCAGCCGCGCGGCCCATGCCGCTGCGGCTAGCCCCTCACTGCTGGCCATATGCTGGCCGCCGTCCTTCATCAGGCGGGCGATGAGGTCCGCCTTCAAGCCGCTCACTGGCAGCTTCCGCCACCTGAGCTCCTCCTTGAGCTCTGCCACGGTGGCCTCAGCCAGCATCTTCCCGAGGTACTCCACACCGAGGTCTCGCCCTTCGGCGACCCTCCCAGGCGCAGCTGTCGCCGCTGCCCGAGAAACGACATTCCCTTCAGGCGCGTCCTTTGACGGCGCCTCGGGCCTCGCCGTGCCGTCGGCCTGCGGGGCAGCTCTCGCCGCTCCCGATGGCGGGGCAGCATTCGCCGCCCTCGATGAGAAGAGCTGCACCGCCCCTCTCGTGCATACAACTGCGCCCTTGACCACGAGCACCAGCACGATGATGAACATGATCATGGCGAGAACGATCGAGCCGATGTTCGACTCGACCTCGTCGTCGGCGGCTGCAGAGCACTGCTTGTCTCCATGCTCGGCCGCCTCCGCGAAAGTGACGCCCACACCTGCGGCGAGCCCCTTGGTCAGAAGCCGCAGGTTGGACATCTCCAGCAACTTGAGCACCCGCTTGCCGTCCAGATGCTTGGTCCCCAAGTCGCTCCTGTTGCTCTCCGTGTCGACTCGCCCGAGCTGCAACTCGCCGAGCCTGACTCGTTCCTGCACCCACAAGTCCCGTATCTGTAGATGCCGTACCTTACCACTGCCGATCCGTGTCGCGATCGCCCTGCCTGCATTCGAGTCGCTGTGAACCTTCGACGCGACCTCGATGCCACACTGATGATAGAACTGCCGCATCATGATCGCACTCGCCGCGCCTCGGCCGATGGCATAGAACTCGGCCTCTCCGCTGCTGAGTGCGACGACGGACTGCGATGCCACCTGGGTCTCCAGGAGGTGGCTGCCGAAGAAGCCATACACGGAGCTGGTCGATTTCCTCGTGATCTCATCCTCTGCCCAGTCCGAGTCCGTCTCGTAGAGAACCTCCTTCGGCATCTCCTGCTTCTCGTAGAACCACCCGAGCTCGCGCCGACCGTGGAGATACCGCACGCACCGCCTCAGCCTAAGCATGCTGATGACTGTGGGCTTCCCCATGTCCGTGAGGATCACCTTCACCGCGAACTGGATGTCTGGCCTATCCACCGCCACGTAGTTGACGAGCCCCGCGACCTGCTGGTAGAGCTTCGCCTCGTCGTGTGGAAGTGGGTCCAGCGCCTCCCGAACGCTCTTGCCCGTGGCCTTGCTCCCAGGCGTGTCCGTTGGCTTGCACTCCGTAAGTCCCAGCAGCTCCACGCACCGCGTCACGTGCTTCGTGTCGCCGATCCAGACGAACCCCTTGCCCGTCCACCTGATCTTGCGCTTGAGGTACGGGAGCTCACGGACGCCATCGGGCCCGACACGACCGATGCACTTGACGTCCATGCTCGCCATCAGCTGCTGGTCCAGGACATCCAGGGACTCCTCCTCGCCCTCAGTCAGGATGTCGTCACCGTGGATCGCCGAGGTCATGTCCAAGAGAGGTTCGTGGTACACGCCCGCTGCCACCGCGATGCGCGTCCAGTTGTTCTTCTTGAACACCCCAGCCACGTACTCCTGCCAGGCCTGCGCTGCCTTGCGCGTACCATACATGGCCTTTCGGAGCTGCCACACGTACCCGTCTCTCCTGAGTCCTGGAGGCGGGATGACGACGATCCACTCGTCGAGGTCGGCGTGGAAGAAAGCCACGTGCACGTCATGCACCGAGAGATGCCTCCGACCCTTCTTCGTCGCCGCCAAGGAGACGATTGCCCTGACGATGGCGATCGGCGGTGTGCCCGCGTTGCAGTCCTCTCGGCCGTACGTGTTGATCTCCATGGCGACGCCTCGGGAACGGACGAAGGGGGCGCCGTCCTTGGTGCGCAGGTCCTCGACCCACTTGAAACGCACCACCTTGCCCCGACTCTCGGCCACGCGGACCTCCTCGAAGACGCCGTGACGCCGCATCTCTTCGATCTCGGCCTCGCGCCCGCGCCTGACCAGGTCCCTGGGAAGCTCCTTCCCGCTCCTCGCGTCGTACACGTGCTTCTCCGCGTCTGGCAGGACCGTGATCACTGCTGACTCGACGGGGCTGACCTCGAACATCCCGATCTCCAGCGGCTCGCAGCTCTCGATCTCCGTGACCGTCTCGAGCTCCTCGTGGGACTGTTGGTCCAGGCCCTCGTACGTGCAGGGATTGATCTCCACGAAAGCCCCGACCGCGAGCGACCCGACTGTGATCGCCGCTGTCTGGCGCGGCCTCTTCGCCGAAGCTTCGCCCTGGTCATCACGTGGTGCCATGCTGGCATCCCCAGATGATCCTGGCATGTCGCCTCCAGCTCCAGCCGCTGGCCCCGCCGCGGCTCCAGCCGTCGCTGGCGTCGGCGCAGCCCCCGCCGCTGCCGACGAGGGAGCGGCCTCTGCCGCTGCCCTGGCCATCTCCTCCTTGCGCAGCTCGTTCTCGATCCTTTTCCGACACTCGTCACTGTGCGATCCCATGCCTGTGACGCACCTCGGGCACATGGGGGTCCAGCCGTACTTGTCGATCAGCGCTCTCGTGATGTACGTCGACCTCAGCCCTGCGCCTCCTGGCCCCGTGGGCGGCGCTGGCCCGACCATCGCTGGTGGCACCAGCGCCTCCGGGCCCTCAGCCGGTAGGGTCACCGGCGGTGGCGGAGGTGGCGGCAGCAGCCGCTGCTGGTTCGGCTCCACCTGGGGCGCTCCCGTCGGCACGATGCCGATCTGTGGAGCTCGGTGCATGTCCCACGGCACCCCAGCGAACTTGTCCAGCTCCTCCAGCACGAACCGCTCGCCCTCAGGTCGCCGTCTCACCGCGCGTACCCTTGTCGTGCGCGTCGGACCCGCCACCAGGTGCTCGTCCGAAACCTCTGTCTTGCCTAGCCACACCGCCGCGTGCCACCGAGGCTGCATCTTGGAGGTCGGCGTGGGGTCCCTCGCCAAAACGCACTCCGCGAAGTTGACGAGCTCGCCCCGATACGGCCTCCCCTTGAGCACCTCGTAGGTCGTCTTGCCGTTGCCGTGCATCGTGAAGCGGTTGAGCTGCCAGCCAGCGTGCCGAATGAGCCACGGTAGTAGCCCATGCTCGGCTGGAAGCTCCCGTTTGTAGTTGTCGCCCACCGAGAACAGCAGCGCCCTGATCTGCTTGCCGAGCTCCGCGTTGGCGCGCTCCACTCCACCAACTCCCTGGTGGTTAGCCCGCTGAGCTGACTCGATCATCGTGGGCGCCTTCCGCTGAGCCTTGATCTCCCTCGCCAGGGCCGTGATCGACGCCTCCTGGTCGTGTTTCAGCACGATGCGATCCAGCCCCCAGTTCTCGATGGTGGCGACCGCTGTCTTGATCATGTAGGCGTCGGTCCCCTTCGGCCCCATGATGCCATGAATAGCCTGAGAGTTCATGTGCACCATGTTGAGGATGCTCAGCTGGCCCAGGAAGTAGTAGTCGATCTGGACCTCGTCGCCCGTGCGCTCGTGTCCGTCCTTGTAGTGCGGGTCGTCCGTGAACTTGGACCTGACGCACACCCAACACCAAGACCTCGCAGGGATGTGCACCAGCTCGTGCGTCCTCTGCTCGGCCAGGCTTGGCTTCACTGGATCCTTCTTGACTCGGACTGGCACGGACTCCTCGAGCTCTGCCTGCGCTGCTGGCTCGCTCGCCTCGGCCTGGGCGCGAGTCGCGGCAGCCCCTCCGCCGCCGCCGCCCTGGAGCGCGGCCCTCGCCGCTGCCCTGGACGCAGCTGATGCGCCGCCAGGCTCGCCTC